ATGAGGAATTAGTTAAATATTTCAAAAGATCTAAAAGATATATATATATATAACATCATTACTCTGCAATGAGCAAATCACAAAACATAGGTTAAAAAAAGGTAAATGTTACAACTATCAAAGTATTGTCTAAAAGCTGAAACTATCAGAGCAGAAGCTAAAATAAGATGAACACATGAAGTAATGAGATATTTTTCAGATTGCAAAGATTTTGGTTACCTTTATTCTGTACATGAGGAATTAGTTACATATTTCAAAATGTCTAAAAGTTACAAAAACCCAAGATGAATATAACCAGCTGCATGTAGTCCACAAAACTTTACAGAGAAAATGATTCATTCAGTAAATGAGTCAAATTTAAACTTAAGATGTTGTAGGCCACAGCAGGCCTCTTCTCGTGGCTCATTTTCTGAACACACACACACACACACACATCTTTAGGATTTTATAAACTCACAAAAAGGAAAATCTGAAAATGGCAGCAATGAAACAAAATGTCGAACACTGAAGAATCAATGTATTTATTTTAGAAATGTTCTGTACCTGACGATGTGTGTGTGTGTGTGGGGGGGGGGGGGGGTGACCATAAGATAATTCTTGTATTTGTTAATTGCTGCTTTATGAAGTGTCCCACAGACCCGTGACGCTCGCGCTCTTTAGCTGAGTTGGAGTTTCAGCTCGCGCTGTCTATTTGAACTTTGATTGATGTGCCGGCGCGGCCGAGGGGCGGGAGGCCCTGCTTCACTCCCCAGCTCGCGCACACAGAAAGATGCGCACGCGTGCATCCACAGTCCTGCAGATAACGAGCGGTGGTCGAGCGGAGAGGAGGCGCAGACGCAGGAGTAGAGGAGCCGTGGCAGCGCGCGCAGCATCCTGCGTTCCTCGCGAGGAGCTGTGGAGGGCCCGCCATGGACCATATGGGGATCCTGGGGGCGCACTTGCAGCAGCACGCGCACTTGGAGCCCATCAGCTTCGGCATCGATCAGATCCTCAGCAGCGTGGAGCAGAGCTGCATGCTGAGCGCGCGGATGCACGAGGCGGACTACGGACACCCGGCGTACGGCGGCGGCACGGGCGGGGGCTTCGCGTGCAGCGGCGGGTACAACGGCGCGGGCGGCTCGTGCGCGGCGGCCGCGCTCGGGGGAACTTATCACATGAACATGAACGGAAGTAACGGGACCCCCGCCGGGGTCATCCGGGTCCCCGCGCACCGGCCCCTCAACGGGGGGAGCCCGGCCGTGGGGCCCGCGGGGAGCGGCCCCCTCAACAACCTGAGCGGCCTCACCTTCCCCTGGATGGAGAGTAACCGGCGCTACACCAAGGACAGGTTCACAGGTAAACAACAACAACAACAGGAATCATTTTAAAAAGTCTTGGAAGAGATAAAATCTCTAAATGTGAAGAATAATTATTTTTACAATTTCTACAAAGCTGCAGAACACAAACATTATATTAATGAATATAGTTTTTCAAGTTTTTAATAATTTATTCAATTTGTACTGAACTTTACATTTTACAATCTAAAAGTGCTACAAATAGAAAATATATAGAGAATAAAACATGGACAAAAAAAGGACTGAAAATTTTTAAAAACTAAAAAACTGCAGGATTAAAATAAACTTAATTATAAGTTTTAATTTTTTTTGTTTGCTTACTTTCTCTTAGAAAACTTCTTAGAAAAGAGAAGAGCAAGATTAAGATTAAACAACAACAAAAAAAGGCTAAATTTAACCAAAGATGGTGCATATATTTTTCATACCTTCATTTGTACAGACTAGACTCACTGAGTAATGAGGACTCATTTACAAGAGACCTGTTCCAGACAGAACATATAAAGTACAGACAACAATAATAATAAACAAGAATAATAAATTACAGTAAAAATGCAGTTAAAATAAGACTAGTGTATAAAATAATAAACCATATATATATATATATATATATATATATATATATATATATAATATCTATATCACTATAATAATATAATATATGTAAGTGTATGCAATCATACTACTGTGATACACTGTGTGATTAAAACAACATATGACAACATAAAGGCTGTGATTTACATTGCTGTGGTTTTATACCAAATTTAGTTAATTTTCTTATTTTACACAACGTTTAAAGAAATTTTACAATAAGAAAGATTACTGCTCTCATATTTTTTCAGGTTTTCTGATTTTTCTAATGTTGAGACTAACCATTTTAATATGAGATAGATGAATGGATAATAATAGAAAGAATATAATTTTGCATTACTTACAGAGCATATATATAAAATATATATATATATATTATGTAATATGTATGTATATAATATATATATTAAATAATATGTATATATATATACATGTATATATATATATATATATATATATA